AAAAAAAAAAAAAAAAAAAAATGTGTTTTCCTTTTGTCCATTCGAACCCATGTGTTAATGCATGCCTCCGAGGACAATCATCTTATATTAAAATTCTAAGATAGGTAGAAGAAAGATGATTCATTACATGGAAATGTAGAAGGACGGATGGATAGACAGATGAGCAATGGGAAGAGACGATGGACGGGTGGCTGAATGGATGGTTGGATGGATGGATGAATGATGGACGGATGGAAATAGATGATGGGTGGATGGATGCATGGGTTGATGGATTAGTGAATGGATGGGTGAGTAGACAGTCAAGGGATACAGCCTTACTTTGATAAAATAAGGCTTCAAAATATCTTAGGGAAGCTCCCTTTGCTTGTCTCTCCTGAGGACCACTTTGGAGGCCATGAACTCTCAAAGCCTACCTTTGTCATAAACCATGGGGTAACGTATCATAGTAAGATCCTATGCTTTTCCTTGATAATATAGGAGAAGAACATTGTGAAGAAGCGGGAAAAAAAAAAAAAAAGAGATGAAGGCAAGCAAGTCAAGTCTGTGGAAGTTGGTTCCCTTAAAACTATCTATATTCAAGTAACTCTTAGAGAGCTCCGTGCACCCTTGGAGAACCAGAACTGTTCTATAACATCCTATTATGAGTTTATAATATTTCCTCATAGGACATCCCTCATGCTCTCTGGGACATGACTGGACAAGCCATCCGTCCAGCTCAACCTCATTAATTTACAGAGAAGAGAGCGGGGAATTGTCCAAGGGCACAGAACAAGTGACTAAGCTGGTCCTTGAAAAAAAAACCCACGCCCATTTTTCTTGGCCAACTCAACTGAGAAACAGAAGCCATTCTCCTGGATGCAGACATCTCAGCCTGCATCAGCCCAGACATTCGTCAGCCCCCGGGAGGCAGACGCAGGGCAGCCCTTTCCCCTCACGCACTGGAAGCCGGCTTCCCGAAAAGTCCCGGGCACCTTGCACCTCAGCAGGCCTCTCCACTGGGGACACGCACCCAGGCTCCCCGGCCTGAATCCCTGTAACCTGGGCCCTTCCTAGGGTGCCTCCAAATCCACAGCGGTCCCGGGAGCCCACGCGCAACAAGGTGGCACGTCCGGGATTACAACACCCGCAGGGGTTGACCGGTGTCTCTGCCAGACTTGGGAGCAGAAAGGACCATGATCTGTGGGCGCTTATGGCAGAGAATATTGTGTTTGGGCTTCATTTATAGGTCCAGGGCCCAGGTTTCATTTGGCTCTGGGCTGCCTGGCTGTAGCCAGAGCTCCGGGCTTTCATCAGGACCCCCTTGGAAACAAGACAGACATCTCTGGGGGCTGTTTACTGCCTGCGAAGTAAAAATTAGGCCAAGAGCAGGAACAATGGGCACTTGGAGAAAGTCCTTCTGCAGTATGTCAAGAACCAAACAGAGCTCACTGGTAAACCCGGGGCTGGGGTGGGGGGTG